CTGAATCTCTTGTCACAGTGTGAACACTTATAAGGTTTCTCTCCAGTGTGGATGTTCATGTGTACCTTAAGGTTTGCGAAGTGTGCAAAACTCTTTCCACATTGATTACATATGAACCGTTTCTCTCCTGTATGAACTCTCATATGTGTCATAAGGTTTCCTTTTTGTGAGAAACTCTTCCCGCACTGATCACATGTGTGCGGTTTCTCTCCAGTGTGGACTACCTTGTGTTTCTTCAGATGTGTTGATCGACTGAATCTTTTGTCACAGTGTGAACACTTATAAGGTTTCTCTCCAGTGTGGCTGTTCATGTGATCCTTAAGGTGTGTTAAGTGTGCAAAACTCTTTCCACATTGATTACATATGAACAGTTTCTCTCCTGTATGAACTCTCATATGTGCCGTAAGGCTTCCTTTTTGTGTGAAACTCTTCCCGCACTGATCACATGTGTGCGGTTTCTCTCCAGTGTGGACTACCTTGTGTTTCTTCAGATGTGTTGATCGACTGAATCTTTTGTCACAGTGTGAACACTTATAAGGTTTCTCTCCAGTGTGGCTGTTCATGTGATCCTTAAGGTGTGTTAAGTGTGCAAAACTCTTTCCACATTGATTACATATGAACAGTTTTTCTCCTGTATGAACTCTCATATGTGCCGTAAGGCTTCCTTTTTGTGTGAAACTCTTCCCACACTGATCACATGTGTGCGGTTTCTCTCCAGTGTGGACTAACTTGTGTTTCTTCAGGTCTCCTGACCGACTGAATCTCTTGTCACACTGTGAACACTTGTACTGTTTCTCTCCAGTGTGGATTTTCATGTGTACCTTAAGGCTTAACGATTGTGTGAAACACTTCCCGCACTGATCACAAGTGAATGGTCTCTCTCCAGTATGAATTCTCAAGTGAACATCAAGATTATATTTGCTCGTCAAACTCTTTCCACACTGAGTGCAGGTGAAAGATTTATTGGCTCCTCTTTTCTTTAAATCTTTCCGTTTGGTTTGAGGGCAACTCAAATGTTTTTCTTCAGTTTTGACATGATTTTTCTCCTGAACTTCATTTAATTCTTCGTTCTCCTCACTTTCTTCAATAAACTCTAAAATAAAAGCAAAAACAGTTCATTTGTCAGTAACTTGGAAAAAAAAGAGATACGTGAAAGTACATAAAAGTGAACCCTGTTGTAACGTGAAAGTACATAAAAGTGAACCCTGTTGTAACAGAGTAAAGACAATTTCGATAATTTTTTTTCTTTTTGATGCAATTTTATAAATTATACTTTCCTGAAACTTTTCATGAATGAGTTACATTGATATTCAAAATATTATTTTTGAAACATTATAGAAACAAATCCCATGTTTCTATAAGGAGAACTATTAAATATGTTTGATCAACTACAAAATTATCTAAAACATTGTTGAAAAAAAAGTGTCCCTTATTATTTGCTGCTTCATCTATATTATTCAACAGCTCTAACGTTTCTATTACAACAAACTAAATCTAAAACTGCTTGAAACTTTATAATTGTCACTATTGTTAACCTTCTGGGGTCGAAGACCACACTGGTGCGGTCTGTCATGTTTTTTCTTGATGAACCGCAAAAAGAGCTAAAAATACTCCGTAATTTTTGATCGTTCAGATACGAATAAGGTATCATTTAAAACCGCAAAGGCAATATTTTGGCTTTAGACCTAATGAAAGAGGACAGCCAAGAGACACGTCTGAAGTGGTGTGCAGGATTTGTGCTCTTGTAATCCACACAAAAGATGGACAGACGACAAATTTACATGACCATTTGCATGTGCACCATTCCGCGGAATACAGTTCATTGCCAATGTCATCACGAACAACTGAACTTCACAAAACAGCTAGGGACCAACCAACCATATCTGAGGCTTTTGCCAAAAGTACAAAGTACAAGCGTGACAGCGAAAGATGGAAGCAGTGTACTGATGCTGTAACTCGCTACCTAGCAAAAGAAATGGTTTCTTTTAATACGGTAGAGAAGAGCACATTTAGATTGCAATGTTACAATGTTAGAATGAAATGTGATTTAACCCTTTTTTGCACATAATATAAAGGCTTATGTTACATTCACTTTATTTGTTTTCATAGCCTTTAATATGTATTGTTTTGTTGGACAACATTGGGCGGTAAGTGAAATATACATATATTAAATACAGATTTTTAAAATACAAATACAAAAACGAAAATATCGAAATATATACAGTATATCGCAAATCTGCCCAAAAATACAGAGAGATGAATTTTTGCCCATATCGCCCAGCTCTAATTCCTACACGTAAAACCATAAATGTTCATATTAAACAGCAATGCAAGCGTGCGATCAGACACACAGACAAATATAAATGACTTGCACAATCCATGTATCATTCGTTCAATTAATTTTTAATTAAGAATCCACAATCGGAAAAAAATAAAAACTTATTTCATTATTTCTTTACAAACCCAAAACGAAAAACAAATAACAACTTGATATCCATATTTTCGTTTTTATGCACAAATTAAAAATGGGGAATAAGAATATGAAATATCAAAATCAAACTCATTCTGTAATCATTATTCTTATTCCCCATTTTAATTTGTGCATAGAAACGGAAATATGAATATCAAGTCGTTTTTTGGAAATAATGAAATAAGTAGCTTTTTGTTTTTCAGATTTGCGGATTCTTCATTGAAAATTAATTGAACGAATGATACACGGATTTTACATGTTAAGCTGATTTGATATTGTGTGCTCACCACATGGGAGGCTAAATGTGCGCATTGTAAATTTATTTAGAAGTCTGAATAGCTACTAGGCTATAATTACTTAAAGGGGTCATATGATGCTGCTAAAAAGAACATTGTGTATTTGGTGTAATGAAATGCGTTTATGCGGTTTAAGGTTAAAAAAACACATTTTCCACATACTGTACATTATTGTAGGCATTTGTTGCATCCAGTGGGGACATAATTACGTATTATAATGAATTATTTACGCGTTGCATTGCATCGCGCCGCGTAAACATAAAACCATGTCTGCATTTGTGATCGGAGAAATTACAAACAACAAGTGCTACTCTACACTGCCCAAAAAACTCGCATTTGAATTAGGGGTCGACCGATATGTGTTTTTCAAGGCCGATGCGGATACCGATTATTACAGATCAAGTAGACCGATAACCGATATTTTGAACCGATATATATGTCTGGTGTAAAAATGAAAATTAATGTCAAAATTAAGAATAACAAGGGCTCTGACAAAAACTGCCTTCCCTGGTGTTGGTTGAGTGTAGTACTCCCACAGTAAACTCTTCATTTTTTGGCAAACAAAGGGTTTACAATTAAAATAAAATAGCGTATTGTGTGATTATTCTTTTAAACAAAAGTTGTACTAATTGTTGTAGTAGTCAGGGGTTAAAGCAAAAAAAAAAATCTTCTGTGCTGTCAATCGCTGCTGAAAATGATTTCAACTCGTTGAAATGAAAGTCTAATATCCAGCACTGCAAAGTTATGGCTTAGATTAAATGAACTTTTCTTGAAATGGAAGATTAGTTCTCACATGTGGCTAGGGATGCACAATATATTCCAAATATAAATCCGCTTTTATTTTTTTTATTATTATTTTTAGGGCTGCAACTAACGATTATTTTGATAATCGATTAGTTGGTCGATTATTTTTTCGATTAATCGGATTAAAAACCGACAATTTTCTTTTTTTATTTTATTGACAAAAACACACTATTCCACATTCTGCCCAATGTCCTTAAAACAAACGTGCCAACTGAGTGCTATGAAAACATACAGTGCTTAACAATTTATTATACCACCTGCCATAATAAAGAGAAAACACATTTTAGGAATTTTAGGAATCTGTCAAAAAATTGTTTAAATCAAAATTTTTTTATTGTCATTTATTTATAACTAAATACTTTTATTTATTCACATAACAAAAATGGCCTCCTATGCCCTTCATAGCTTGCGTTCTTGCTGGCATTGTTTAAGTACTTTTTGACTGTAATTGGGTCTCTGAAAAAAAAAAAACACTATAAAGCTCCCTGCCTTTCTTTCATAGATAACCGCAATAATTATATTATAGCATTAGAAACAGCCTACTACTGTTACTAAAGAGCTTATGCATATTGGAGGACTAACCCATACAGAAAGCTAAAAAATGATTTTGTTAATCACCAATACTGTTAGTTTAGAGCAGCGGTGGCACAAACCATAATTTGTTAAAAACCTTACATAAATTTGTTTTAATAAATTTGTTAAGCATTGTATATAGTGAATATAGTTTAAATCTCTGCATTAAAAATTAAAATAATAATAAAGATGATAAAGACGAATAAAATCACAAACTCAGTGGTAACCAATAGGTAAGAGTAATGTTCTGCAGGAACACGTGTTCCCTTTGATCACAGTCACGTCATAGCCCGATTTGGACGGTAATTGTTTCTCATATGGACGTCTGTAAAAATAAATATACTTATCACCTCAGTGATAAAACTCATGGATTCCGAATAGGGAATTATTAATATCGGCGCCGATAATCGGACGACCCCTAGTTTGAATCGTCAGTGGCAAATTCTTTAAATATAAAAAACTTACTTACAGTCTGTGAGTCAGAACAGCCGGCATTATAGTCTACTCTACCAGGATCAGGAAACAGTCCTCCTTAAAATGCGCTGGACAGATCTGAATATTTGGGTTAAACTGTTCTAGAACAGTGTTGTAAATACAACTTAACCACTGATTTCTAGTCGTGTCCTCTTTTGGAAGGCCAAACAATGTAGTTTCGTTTTCACAACAAAACAGCCTCACACACCGCAGCCTTGAGTGAGCGGAGGCCGGAGGCCTAGAGTGAGTGGCGGCCTAGAGTATGCGGAGGCATATGGGATTACATTTCTGCCGCAATTCTGCGCGCGTAAGATCATATTTTGAGCGCGCAAAAGTGCGTATTGCACGCGCGTGAACTGAGTTTTGTGGAGAAAATGTTTGTCTCG